ATTTAACAATTATAATAACTGTCTTTGGCATATTGTGTAATCATCGAGTCAAAGGCAGTGTTTATTTTTTAAGAGTCTATTTCATTTAAAAAAAATATTTTAATATTATTGTACTTTAAACAAATTGAAATCCAGTAAAATCAGTTGTAATTATTTTACATGTCTTTATCATATTGCATAAACGTCTAGTCAAAGTCAATGTTAATTTTCTGTGAGTCTATTTTGAATAATATTTTAATATTGCTAATTTATTTTATTTTTAAGATAAATGTATATTATTAAAAGAAGTAATCCTGTCTGTAATACGAGACGTTATCATATTGCAAAATCATCGAATCACATTAAACGTTCCTATGTTTCTTTGAACAATATTTCTAACACATATACATTAAAAATAAGTTCAATTTTTTTCAATTCAATTCAATCAATTTCATTCATGCAATTCTTAAATTAATTACATAATCCCATGTGCCATGCAAAGCACGCGCGGGATGAAAAACACATTTCATTTTCTTGTTTCTGGCAGCAAACAGTTCATTTTTCCTTCTTTGTAACTTTAACAGAACAGTGAGTAGACATTTCCTATTGCAACAGTTTTAATCATATAAATAACACTTATGTTATAAATAAACAAATTAGAATGATTTAATAAGAACGCGGTTTTTAGAAAGACAATAAATTCTACATGCAAATATAAATAGTTATTTATCTAAAACAAAGCTAAAAATAAGTTACAGATTATTTATGCTATATTATGAATGATAGGAAACAACAAAGCTTTTGACTTTATAAAAATATAATATTAGTAAGATTAAAAATAGTTTGTTGTGTGTGTGTGCGCGTGTGTGTGAGTGCGCGTGTGCCTGTGTGCGCGCGTGCGTGTGTGGGTGTGCGCGTAATTTCTTTTTTTTACTTAAATGCTATTTTTTTTTTGAATATGTGACATTGGTTCAGGACAGGTTTAGCTCAAATTTTAGACTACACTGGCATAATCAAAGATATTATTTAATTTTTTTATGAATAATTAATTATTATTTCTGTCGCGTGTCTTGCTGTAGATGAACGGAGACGTACAATCACCACCACCGGCGACGTACCTCGGTCCAAACGTGTGTCCCGTGTGCGATCGACCATTCTCGTGTCATGAACACGCCCTGCACCATTATCGCAGGTCCACCTACATACCGGTGGATACGTGTGTGAATGTTGTGACAGGACGTTTTCTTGTCATGATAATGTTCATTGTTCGGCAGCACTATGCGCTGACTCACGCGTCGCACTGTGGTCCGTTACCAACTCCGCCGCACTCACCATCAACGGTTTGAGTCGCCGGAGATTGATGATGACGTCATTGTCATTGACGACGATGACGACAATGCATCGGGGACGATCGAGGAGCTGCTCGACGTGCCTATGCTTACTGATATTCAGCTAGAACCTGAAGGTTTGTATATTAATAAGATAAAAAAATAAAATAAATAAACAAAATAAAGTTAATCGTATGCATTTATTCGTTTTAATGACCGATTTTTTTTTACATTGACAGGATAGAATTATTCTTTTACATCTGAACGAGGAGAAGATTATTTATAAATGGCTCATAATTGAATTAATTTATAACTCCGCCGCACTCACCATCAACGGTTTGAGTCGCCGGAGATTGATGATGACGTCATTGTCATTGACGACGATGACGTCAATGCATCGGGGACGATCGAGGAGCTGCTCGACGTGCCTATGCTTACTGATAGTCAGCTAGAACCTGAAGGTTTGTATATTAATAAGATAAAAAAAAATAAAATAAATAAATAAAATAAAGTTAATCGTATGCATTCATTCGTTTTAATGACCGAATTTTTTTTTTTTTACATTGACAGGATAGAATTATTCTTTTACATCTGAACGAGAAGAAGATTATTTATAAATGGCTCATAATTGAATTAATTTATTTTAACAAAAAAACTCATTGCAAATAGGTCAAAAGAAAATATTTGAGGCGGGTCATAGCAAAACTGGCTAAGTCGGATTTTGGTCGAAAATGAGATAGTGGTTGTTCCATGATCTGTAAGTAGATCTGCATCTGAAAACACATCTCTTTTGTGCCAAAAATGGCTATTTATAATTTAAAAATCAGTTTGAAATATGGGAGTTGTAGCAAAACTCGCTGTTTTTAGCTTCGCGATTGAAGCAAAACTTGCTATTTTCAATCAACGAATCAGAGCGCTGCTATGAGGTCATGTGATCAAACAAAACAGCGCAACTTAGCAGACAAGCAGACTGCTCTAACCTATTACTGTAGTAGTGTGGAGTTTGATGTTTGTGTTAATGATTTTAACATTAATTTAAGTGTTTTCCCAGAATGGATAACTTAATTAAACCTTCGCCGAAAGGAAAAGGCAGAAGGAAAAAGTCTAGGCCTGAAGAATGGGCAAGAAACAAAAAGAAAATCAAAAGGTAAGCCACTATGAAATCTTAACCTTAAACTTAACCTCAAAACATTGTGAGGCCTCATGGCTTTGGTTTGTCTGTTACTTTTATTTAATTATTGTGAATAATATTACAGTGTTTAAAAAAAGAATTTGAGAAACTTAACTCCAGCAAAATCCTAAAATGGAATGTTTGTTTCAGGCATCAGGCCAAAGGATTGCCGCAGTACCCGGCATGTGATCACCGGGGGAAAAAAACATTTCGATGTAAAAACCTTAAAATGGAAGACATCAGGGAATTTCATAGCAAATTCTTTAAAAGTAGTGATAAAATTGTTCAAGACTGTTTCATCCTAAAGTATATCGAAGCAAAAGATCCAGAATGTAAGAAAATTGGAGGGAACAAAAGTAAAAGTGTTTCTATAAACTACTTTGTGACAGTGAAGCAGTGTAAAACCTTTCGTTTACAGGTGTGTCAGAAAGCCTTTTTAGGAATCCTTAATATTTCCAAAGACCGGGTCCAAAGAGTTGCTCGTAAACACTTACAAACTGGAGAGATGCCTGAAGAAACTCGTGGTGGTGATAGGATGACTCCTAAGTTTGCAGACAAAAAGGAATCTGTTCGAAACTTCATTGAACAACTTCAACACTCCAGTGAGGCTCATTACTGCCGTGGAAAATCCATTGTAAGACAGTATCTTCCAGGTAACCTTAGCATTGCTAAATTGTTTAAAATTTATAATGATATATCCCCTGATCATCTCAAAGTAAAGAGATCTTTTTTTCGCTATGTATTTACATTGGAGTACAATATTGGTTTTGGGATACCAGTAACAGACGCCTGTTCCACGTGTATTCGTTACAAAGAAGGACTAAAACTTGAAAAAGACCCTGATAAACGATCAAAAATCATGATTGACTATCGTATACACAAATTGCGTTCTAAAGCCTTTTTTAACAAACTTAAAGAAGAAAAAGAAGGCCTTGAAACATTCTCTTTTGATTGCCAAAAGAATTTAGTAATACCAAAAGTTCCTGACCAAGTTGCATATTATAGCCGTCAATTATATACCTATAATTTTACGGTTGTAAGGGGCTCATCGAAGAGCAAAATGACAAAAGAAAATACCATAATATATACATGGAATGAAAATGATTTTGCAAAGGGCTCAAATGAAATTTGTTCATCAGTATTTCACTGTCTTAATTTGTTTGATCTTTCAAAATGCAAAAAGCTAAGACTATGCGCTGACGGTTGTGGCGGTCAAAACCGCAATTCCACAATGATTTCTATGTGTTCATATTATCTGTTGAATATTGCACCTCCCAACATTACAGAAATAGAATTAGTTTTTCCCATCCCCGGACACTCATTTTTGCCCTCCGATAGAGTGTTCGGACGGATAGAAAAAGTACTTAAGACCATGCCTGTTATTAACAATCCACAGGAGTACTTGGATGTTTTTAACATGCATGGAACTGTTTACAAGCTAGGAACAGATTTCATCATCTATGATTGGAAAGAAGCTACAAAGGCCTACTTCAAACCGACTAAGGATTGGCACTTTAAATTTGCTCCATGCAAACGGTTTGTGTTCACCAAGTCTAAGACTGCGACAACAGTGTTTGTTAGAGGAGAGACGTACTATGCATCAAATTTGGGAAGAGGAAGATCACTCCTGAAAAAGGGGCAACAAATAAACAACATGTTGTTATCAGAAGTGCGACGTGGCCACCCAGTTAAAGCAGCAAAGGTTAAGGATATTGAAACCCTTCTTGTAAAACACTATGGTGAAAACTGGCGTGCTGTACCAGGTAACGATTTCTTGCAGAGGTTTCTGGATCATGCCAATATCGAAGATGATGAGGGTGCTCCTGAGGAAGAATTCTGTGAACCTCATGAAGAAGACGTCCCTGTGAGAGTGTGAAACAAACTGTTTGGGGACTGTTCTAGACCATTTTTACGCCTAACAAAATTGGGACATTTCAAAAAAATTTTGACGACAAAATAGTAATTTTTAAACCTTTTGTGAGTTAATAAAATAGATTGTTTAGCTATATTGTTTTATTTTATCATGATAATATCCATTAAACAATTTTAAGTGTAATTTTTCAGTGCAAAATTGAGCTAAATTCAAAAAGAAGGAGATAGGCCTACTACTTAAATTCTGTCACATTGTTTGAATATTTTATTTGGTTATAGCAAAACTGGCTATTTTAAACTCTTGGTTAAAGCAAAACTGGCTATTTTTATGTGTCATAGCAAAACTTGCTATGTCACTTTTTTAAACGGCTATAACTAAAAAAATAACCTAAATATATTACTTTTCTCTGCAAAAAAAATACCTAGGTATCTTAAAGAACAACTGGAAAAAAAATTGTAAACATTGTACCAGTAATAATTATTGTAGAGGTTTTTGGTGTTTCCTGTAAAATTTGGTTTTCTGGACATAGCCACTTTTGCTATGACCCGCCTCATTTATTTAAATATTCTTTCAAATAATACGACATTAACTATTCTGGGGATCGTTATTGTTTACTATAGAAGCTGAGACAGCCACATGTCGTTGCTGCATGGCGTCGTTCGGGAGCCGGCGTGAACTTCGGGATCATCTTCGGGTGACCCACCTCGTCAGCGTCTTGTCGACCCTGGACGAATGGGCCGGTCTCAGCGAGGACGAGGACGAGGACGAAGACACCAACGGGGCTCGTCAGATGCTCGTCGATAATGTTCGGGAAGGCAATAAGGATATGATTTATATATATATAAAAAAAAGATAAATTTAGTTAATAGAATAATGTTTTAATACAAGATTCTTTGTTATTCAGTTTATAACATGAATTTTATTTATAAATCAATTTATAAAATATTCTTTTCTACTCAGTTTATTATCTACAAAAAGAAATATTTATTTAAATTTTCTTCCAAAATAAATAGATTAATTATTTATTAATAAATTCATTCAATTCCTTTCAATTTAGTTTTTATAAAAAAAAATATCTTTATGATTGGATTTATTTCAATAACGATTGTTCTTTACAATTAGCTGCTATAAATTAACAATCGATTGAAGAAACTGATCATTTGATTTCAGAGAGCCATTCTGCTAGTATGCGGGAGGAGGCAGACAAAACGGCTGGTCCATTGTCAGGAATTATGTCACCCTCTTCTGTCGCTGCCACAGTTGACAATAATTCCAAAGGAGAAAGTGTCAATGACGTCGATGACGACAATGTAGACCACAACTCGTCACCCGACCATTCTATTATCGGTAATTATTATTTGTACTTAAAATTATATATATCTTATTTGTGAAAAAAGTCTTAATTATCTTAAACATAAATAAATCAAATCAATTAAACTTGTTTGTTTATCCAAGATTTAACGACCCCATCTCCCACCGGCGCTTCATCGGTGCCATCGCCGCCGCCGCCGCCACCACAGTCCCATCAACTCTGGTGTCCGTGGCAGCAGCAGCAGCAACAGACACCGACACCCCCACAGCCATCACCACCGCCCCCAGCGACGCGATTCGTTTGTCCGGACTGTGGTCGAGCCTTTGCCAGAAGATTTTGCCTTAGAAGACATATGGAGGCCAACTGTCCGGCAACGACATCCCTCAAGAGATTTCAGTGCCCTGAGTGCGGCCGCCAGTTCAAAACTGAGTACAGCATGAACAGACACTTGCGGTTTCACTGTAGGTCGAAGAGGGTGAAAATATGGGGCACCGAGAATTCTCCTCCACCACCCCCGCCGCCACCACCGACACCGCCTCCACCAACTGCAGGACCGTCCAATCAATATGGAGGCGGGGGCAGCCAAGGTATTAGTTACAGCCCTAGTGGTAGTGGTAGTGGTAGTGGTAGTGACGAACCGTCAGAAATTCCGGGGAATATTGCACCCGAGAACTTTGAAGAAGTCGAGACGGCGTTTCGCGGACGATTGAAAACATACAGATTACGTGACGAAGCGCCCTCTCGGCTTACTATCCCGGAGTTTCTGACTCAATTGTTTGAGGATCTTGTAACGCTTATGCACCGCATATTGGAACACGTGACAGCCGTAGAGACCAACCTGTGGTTAGATTGCGAATTCACGAACGTTCACGACTAAACGTGTCGACGCGCCTTTAAGACCAAGAATGTCACCGTTCTCCGGTCCACCGACATAGACGAACTGTGCAGTAATTTCTCCAAAAGTTGGTGGACAAAAAGGAGGCGTGTGAAATGAAGGGCTCGGGCTGGACCTTCGCGAGGATCATAGACATGGAGATCCGCGTCAATGTTTACCGACCTCTCGGAGGTAGCTCGTACGTCCCGTTACCCCAAAGCGTCGCTGCTAAAAAGGTCGTGATCAACGTGCTGAATGATCGGGATCAAAATTGCTTCATGTACGCCATTTTGTCAAAATTTATTCATAATCCCTATCGTCACCAGCTAAACACCACGGACTTTTCACCCGAGTTCCGTGCGCGAATTAATTTAGATTTTTCCCAATTAACTTTTCCTGTACGGCTGGAGTAAATCCCGACATTTGAGAAGAGAAACGTTGGAGTAAGCGTAAACGTGTACGGATTGGATCGGGTCCGGACTACACGGAGAGACGGCCAAACAACATCAAAGTACGAATACATTGTATATCCACTCCGTGTAGTAGACGGAGAACTCGATAACCATTTCGACCTCTTGTATCTGTCAGATGATGAAACTACACATTATGCACTGATCACAAACTTCGAGAGATTGGTCAGGAGCCAGATCACTCAACACCACGGTAGATTGTTCATTTGCAAGCGCTGTTTCGCTCATTTTGACAACACACCGACAGTTGACGGTAAACGGGGTGAGCAGCGACTTGCAGAACACAAGAAATATTGTTTAGACCATGCGCCGTTGCGCACCAATCTGGCCAGATCCCCCCTCCGGATGAAGATCCAGAAACACAACGAGGGGGAAAACCACATAAAAACAATAGACCGGATTCTGATCATGTCAGGACAAGGAAGGTTCACAGACCGTACGCGTACGCTTACTACGTTCGTGATAGCCACAGGTTAGGAGCCGATCAAGAGGACCACGGTAACACGTTTTCGGAACTTCGTCTCTATAGGGGTGAGAACGCTGCGCATCATTTTATGGAATCCATCAAGAAAGACGTCCGGCGTATAGGAGATGTTTTGTACAAAACACGCCGGACCGAACCACGATTAGATGCGCATATGTAAAAAACCATTCGTCGACGGTGACGGTGACGGCCGAAACGATCCAAAAGTTCGTGACCACCAACACTAACCCCCCCTACACGTTTCGAGGTGCAGCTCATCGGTCTTGCAATTTAAAATTCAAGGAGCAAGACACGATACATTGCTACTTCCACAATTTGAGCAATTATGATGCTCATTTTGTGGTAAGAGAGCTGGCCATAGACGGGGGTGACGTAAACGTACTCGCCAACACAGAAGAAAAATACATCTCCTTCAGTAAACGATTCGTACATGACGGTGCGAATCGTCACAACCGACTCACACTCAGATTTGTAGATTCTTATAGATTTTTGTCCCGAGCCTTGTCAAATTTAGTTTCCCTTACGCCAATAGAAAATCTTGAAATCACTAAATCCTTTTTTCCTGACGATGCTGACTTTGCATTAGTACATCGCAAAGGCGTTTTTCCATACGAGTACGTAACGTCAATCTCGGTATTGGACGAAAACGTGTTACCACCACAGGAATCCTTTAGAGACAGCCTACGCAAGGAGGACGTAAAAGAAGAGGATTATGCTCACGCCCGACGCGTATGGTCACACTTCAATTGCACAACCCTCGGAGACTACGCCGACTTGTATTTGAAAACAGACGTGTTGCTGTTGGCGGACGTCTTCGAGGGCAAAAAAGATAGTAACAAAATATGGTTTCAAAACCATCCATTTTAATCAGGGCCCTTACCAGAACAGTACAGAACCCCTCAATACAAAACCCTACAGACACAAAGCTTTAAGTTATCATGGAATTATAAAGACTGGTTCTGTATGTTGGTCAACTTGTTGACTGTGAAAGTGTTGATTGTGAAAGTAAAAAACTTTGCCTTTTGTCCCCAAAGAAAGGATATGGTTTTTATTCGCGTAGAGTACAAATCTGCGTGTGATTTATTTAAAAGACCATACTGATCTTCAAAACTCCAAATTTCATTAATCAAAAAGAAAAGATTAACATTTGGCCAATAAATAAAATCCAAGAAACATGTTGGTTTTTCCTTTAAAAAAAGAATAATTTGGCTGCCAAGCCATAGTAGATTCACTCATAATCAGACATAGCCTAACATGTCTGATTTTGCAACTCTGATTAATTAGACCCATATTTAATGTAAGTATTGTAAGTTAAATGTTCTACAGTTGGTTATTTTAAAATAATTTTAAAATACACATTAATAGGACTTATAGAACAACTGTATTATAAACAACAAGCGTGACATGTACAGTTAGAACCCAAGAGAAGCAAGTGTTCTAATATATCACGAGTGGCTTAAGGTGTTTTATGCAATTAATTTGTTGCATACGTTGCCTTGTCTACGAATTGCATAATTTTTATTTCAGCACTAATTCCGTCAAATGCCTTCTCATTGTTAAGTACTTCCATGATCTATTTTTTTTTAAAGTGGCTCCTGTGTACCTTAAAGTTTACTTGATAAGTTATGGTAACTTCGGCTTTGGTTTCGTGGATAGTAGTCCTATTTACAGAGGAAAATAATGTTGAGGTTGTGAGGTTAACATGTTGGGTTAAGGATGGTGGCTGCTTTTGACCTACTGTTGCCAGGGACAGGTTTAAAACCTATATCGAATGGAAAGTTGAGCCCGATGACTAAGACAAATGGAAAGTACGAAGCTAGAGTTATGGGCAAAACATATGGTAAGAAATATTATATACTTGGCTTTCGATTAGATAATAATAGTATAAATACATTGCCTTTTAGTAAAGCAGAACATATTTTTGGTGGGCATTTTCATATTAAACCGAATCCCCCTCCCCTTTAACAAATAATTCCATTTGGTTTATTTAGGTCACCTAGGCCTAATGAACATAACCTAACCTTAAATAACCTTCAACACAAGAATTGAAAGAGGTCGCGGCTACTAGTGTAACCTGCCTTTGGTCTACTCGAAGGGGAGGGGATTTGCCAAGCGGAAGTAGCCCTAAGACTCAACTGGGAACAAGGGTGGTCAATAAATATATTTATGATAATCTAGCCGTTGCAGTGCGCAGTAAAATGGTGGCCTCCTTGTAATACACAAGTTCCACATAAACTTGAATGCAGATATATCTAACATTCCTATGTTTACTATAACGTTTAATTGTGTATAAAAAAAAGAGGCTGTACTTAAATTAATGCTTTAGCACATTAACGGAAAATGAAGAGCTCAACTCGTCCGTTATTGGTTTGTGTAATGCTACTTTTGTAAAGGATAATCAACTTTGTTTTTATATTGGACAGACAGTGACTATTGGACGGACTAGTTATAGGAGACAATGAAACACCTTGCATTGTAAGTTCTGTCAATGACCACACATACACGACTGAGCCATGTCAATTCAAAGAACTTACTTTGGGTAATTTAAGATATTATTTAAAAAATATTGGGTAAAACTGAACTTTTACTACTTATGTTATTTTGACTTTTTTTAACCTTATTTACCTAAATTAAACTATTTTGAGCACTTTTTACATTTAACACTTTGGGGGAAACGCCGTTTTCACCCTCAAAATCGCGTTTAAAGTTTGCTAAAATTGATCGCGGGACGAGGTTAACAAGCCATTTTTTTACATTTCATTTCTGGTCTGGACAGCAGAAGGATGAGTCCAAGAGCTTAGAGGAGGGGAGTAAGGTACAGTTTCTTAATTGAGCTAAGCCAATGATTAAAGATATCGATTGGAAATATCGATTAATAATAGCTATTATTAACTATTTTAATTATAAAATAAAACTGTCATAACTTAACATGACTAACCACACTCGCTGATTATGAAAAAATCGAATTAATGTTTACTAATCTAATCGATAGTTTGATCGATATTAGCGTAGTATTGTTGCTTCCTTCCACCATGTGTTGCGGTATTAGTGTGATATTATGGGAGTATTGTTGGAGAAAGTTGTTTACCTTTTAGTTGTGAGCAAAATGGTGGAAGAAGCTGATGCAAATTTTTGTGAAAATTGCGATGCAAATTATTGTGAAAGTTGCGAAATCAGTTTGTTGGAGACGGGTGCGAGGGATTATGACCGGGTGGTGAGGTTTTTGTTGGACCATGGAATTTTCCACCGACCCGTTAATTATCCAAACTGTGGTAGAGTATACGTGTTGGACAGAATAAATTTACGGTACCGGTACCAGAAAAGCCGACGTGATCCTGAAAAAGGAATACGGAGATGCAATTTTTTCTTAAGTGCGCGGAAGGGAACCTTACTAGAAAGATCCCATCTCCCTCTAGAGAAGTATGTACAGCTGGTGGCGTTCCTGCTTCTTATAAAACCCCCACAACACTATTTGATTAGGGAAGAATTAGGGGTATTAGGGGTAATTAGGGGGTCGATTGGTATTCCTTCTGCCGCGAGGTCTTTATTGACCATTCCCAAAGAAACTCGGCCATGATCGGAGGGCCGGATAAAATCGTAGAGATTGATGAGGCCAAATTTGGCAAACGAAAATACAATCGCGGTAGAGTTGTGGAGGGACAATGGGTATTCGGAGGTGTAGAGCGCGTAGTTTTTTAGTACCGGTGGACACAAGAGATGCCGACACGCTCTTGGAAATCATCCAAGAATGGATTATCCCAGGCACGACGATTATAAGCGATTGTTGGCGTGCCTATAATTGCCTCCAACACAATGGTTTCAACCATTTGACGGTTAACCATTCCGTTAATTTTGTGGACCCTCAATCTGATGCGCACACAAACACAATAGAGCGTTAGTGGAGAGATGTGCGCCACACAACTCCAAGATTTGGTGTGAGGAAAAACCATTTCATCGGTTATTTGGCTGAGTACATGTTCAAGGTCAAATACCCCTACAAGATCAGACTGCACGAATTTTTCCGTGCAGCTGCTCAGCTCTACCCTCCA